GCAAAAGGCCAGTGACAATTATATTTGTGAATAAACAGCCATTCAGAGCAGTCAATGTCATTGTTACTCATGAAACTAAAGATAAGTATCATTTTGTATTTCCTCTCAAGTTCTTCAACTGCAAGCAGGAAAACTGGTTTTGTCTAGAACAGTTTTGTTACCTCTGCTAGTTTACCTTCATTTGGTTAAAGTTTGAATTTACCTTACTAATTCTTCAAAACATTTTTGTAATTACAGCTGGGTATTTTTTTTTTACCTGCTGAAAACTGTACCTGATCAAATCAGGGACTGAGAACTTTAGACTTTGAATGTTTCTATTTGGTTTCATTTCTCCTTTCAGTGATAGTATTATCACAGCCCCAGCAGACTGATCATCCCATCCTGACTAAGCCTGCATGACTATGATGGAAGGACTACTCAGATAAACCACCACAGCAGCCAAGGACAGGCTGAGCACCTGAATTAAGAGACTTTTCTTTTTTTAATTTACATTGACAATATACTCAAGTATTGCACAACATCTGCACTGTTTAATGTAAATCCAGCAGCATATTAACCACTTAATATATGGATACTAGACATCCTCTTATTTCAATCTCAGCCACTGGTTATACAAAATACTGAGACAGACAAAAATCTAGTTTTCCTCATTTTAAGTGACCTCCTGTCTGGGCCACAACGATGTATCTTACAACTCTAATGAGAAATGAGATTTTTTGATTTTTTTTTTCCCCCCAAGAACAAGCTGAAGGACACAAACTCATCTCTAAAACAATCAGACCAAATTACATGAGATTACAGAAGATACAGCTAGAATGATCCTTAAAAGGTCATCTTGTTTCGAGGCTCTGATGTTCAGTGTTAGTTCTGATTAGGCTATGATGAGGTGGAAGCACAGGATGTGATGCACACCTCCTCCTGCATGTGCCTGCTGCTGAAACCCAAGCCTGTGATACCTTCAGCAACTATGTTTGGCAACTCCCACTTAATCCGTCCCATTTTCTCCAGGCAGGATCAACCATGTCATTTCAGACAGACCTTTGTCCAACCTGTTCTTAAAGACCTCCAATAAAAGTGTGAAAAGTCCTTCACAAATTAGACTCAGAGGTCTTTATGTCATCAATTTCAAAACTACTTTAGAGTTTACAGCGATAACTGCAATAAATACAAACCCAGACTACCCAGTGGCACAGCACAGATATTTGGAGCCCTCTCTCAACCACTGAATCACTTAGCAGCACATTACTAGCCAAATGAAACATTTTTTTCCTATATTTATGTCATCCTCTGTCTCTTTATGTTCAGACTTGTTTTCCTGTCACACGACCCAGGTGCAATACTGAGCGTATCTGATGTCAGATATTCCCACCCACTTGGCAATCTTTATTACCCTGTGACATGTCCTTCAGTAACTTGCACTGCAGTGATGCCAGATTCCCAGCCACTGGTATGTTCCTCCTGGAGTAGGGAGGAAAAATTAACTACACAGTCAACTCAGCTGAACTTGGGGCAGAGAAAAATACATATAACTGAAAACAATCTGGTAACTTCCATATTGTTTTACAGCTTTCTGTGAATTGGAACTCAGTTTTGTTCCCTCAAATGAAAAATATTTAAACTCTTACTGCAGAGTGTTTCCTTAACATACAATCCTAAGGAAAAAAATTAACTTTGGGAACAGTAAGAAAAGGCAGGCATCAAGTTCACGCTATTACTTAAACCAATTCTTGTGGTGGGAAATCCTTTTTCATGGTTGCAAAATATTTCAAGAACAGCTTAATCCCACCAGCAGCAGAAAAGCTAAAAGATACATTAATTTGACATGGCTAAAAGTAGATTTTATCCTATTTCCATCTACACAGAACACCAGACAGCCATATCCCCAGGTCTGAAGCAGTTCATTGCTACAGAAGGAACGCTTAGAGTGTGTAAAAAAACCCCAAATGCTGGTTCCTCTCCCACTTCTCTGTGGCAGGACGTGGTGCCTGTAAGTTATGCAGAACTGTAAGAAGAACAGCTGGTTCCTCCTTCAGCAATATCACAAAACCTACCCCATTAAAAGTCAGACAAGGCACTTCACAGCAACTACAAAGATTGGGACTGTTACCCACAGGACTGAGAAACAGGTCCAGAACTTCCATTAAGGTGACTTTAAAAATAAAAGTTATTTCAATACTCTACAGGCAACAACTTTCAAGATGTTTCTGTGGTAACATTTTTTAAGCACAGCAAATAAAGAACATGAATTAGGACAATGGGGTAAACTATTAATGTTCATTAAGATACTGCTACAAATAAAATTTCCTACAGCACCAAGCAGAGAGCAAAAGAAGGTATGTTAATTCCTCAGGACAGTCAGAGCAGATGACACAGGCTGCCCAGAGAAGCTGTGGCTGCCCCAGCCCTGGAAGTGTCCAAGGCCAGGCTGGACCAGAGCTTGGCACAACCTGGTCAATGGAAGGTGTCCCTGCCCATGGCAGGGGGTTGGAATGAGATGAGCTTTAAGATCCCTTCCAACCCAAATCATTCTATGATTCTGTGATCAGATGATATGAAACAGTGAACTTAGTAGCTCAAAATTCTCCATTTTGCCATCACCCTACATGAGCAACCCCCACAATGAAAGAAAAGAAACAAGCTAAGCCAACAACTTGCTGACTGAGAAAAATAGTGTTGTATTCCTGTTCCCTCCTTAAATTTCAAACATACTGCACCCATCAGGCTACCCCAGCATCATAAAAATAGCTGTAACAATCATGGCTGACTAAAACATGTGCCTCTCCTGAACATGCCACGCTGCACCTGACAGACACTTTCACACCTGTACAGCTCAATGACCTCAGCACATCACAAAAGCAACCTCTGTGCTTACAATGAAAATATGACTTGTGGTCTAACTGCACTTTGGAAAGCATCAGGAAGCTGTCTTGCAGCATGAGTGCTGTTTTTTAGACTGCATAATGCTTGTCCCCTTAAATTAATTTATCATGACACACAGAAATGGAGATAGCAGTGAAGCACACTACCAACACAAGCACTACAGCTCCTGAAGAGCCACAGCAACATAATTAACCCCATATTCTCTTTCATCATATTGATACAGGTTTTGTTCTACTGCCCAAGGCCTTCTTTTTTCAATCTGCCAAATGCTGCTTGTGTTTCAAGCCTGATTGATTTTCCCATGAATTAGTTCAGAAAGTATTTATCAGTCCCTTCCTATTACTCTCAACAGAAATATGTTTTCTTAAAAAGCCTTGTACATGCAGCTTGTGTCAAAACTAGTGATTAAGTCTTCATGGCACCAGTCCCCTGACTGAAGTCCATAAAGCATCATAAAACAAGTACATGTTTCACAAGGAGGATGAATGGTCACTCAGACCAAGAGCTGGGGGGGCATCATTCATACCACAGCACTTCATAACTGAGACCTGGAATAATAATCTGCAGACCACATTTTGCACTCATTTATAACCAAAACATAAATGAATGTTTGTACAAGGTTAATGTTTTTCAAATTAAACCTCCATAGTCAACATTGTCTTCACCCTCCACATTCCTCTGATTTTTGGAAAATTTAGAAGGCAAGCACAACAAGAGAGATAAGCACGGGACAAGACTTCTGGAAATAGACTCGTAAGATGGCTTGTTCTATTACAGATAATGCTGTCAATCCAATTTCCTTCAGGAGTTTGGCAAGACAATGAAGCTGGAGGAAGTTATCCTGCACAGCTGCTTTCTATTGTACTGTTTTATAATCTCAAAGAGATAATGCTTTGTGAGTTTATTTATGCCAAAGTGATTCTTAGCACAAAAGTTGAAATAAAACCATCTGATATCGACTCTATCTCAAGCCAGAGCCGATGTCATTGAGCAGTCCACCACCACCTGTTGCTGCCTGCGGCTTGATGCACCAGCTCCGAAGAGCTTCAGCCTAGACACAGTTTTTGCAGTGCATAGCCACTATTTTTTTTTTTTGTAAATACCCTCTAAAGGGTATTTACACCCACCGGTCTTTACATCCAGCTCCCGGCACGGAGCGCACCCGGAGGGGCCGCGACAGCGCAGCGAGCGCACGGGTCCACGTTTGCTGTGCCACGGGAGAGCTCCAGAGGGGTTACCCGGGATCCCTCCGGGAGGAGACGATGCGGAGACCGAGGGCACAGCGGGCAGGGCCGGACCTGGGTTCCGCTGGAGGCCGAGCCGCTCGGACCGGGCGCTCCCTCCTCCTCCTCCCGGAGCGGCGTCGCGATCTCAACTCGTCACCGGCGGCTCCGGCCCCTCGCCCAGCCCCGGCTGAGGCTCCCCGGGCCCCGGTTCTCCCTCGCCGGGCCCCGGTTGTCCCTCGCCCCCCGCGCGGGGCGGCCCCAGCCCGGGCAGCGCCGCCGCCCCCGCGCTCCCCGCTCACCTCCTCGGCCTGTTTGCGCAGCGCCTTCTCCCGCTCGTACTGCGTGAGCAGCTGCTCGTTGTCGTCCCGCAGCAGCTCCAGCTCCACGCTGGTCTCCTGGCTGTGCGCGCACACCGAGTCCAGGTTCTCCAGCACGGCCACCACCAGCGGCATCAGCTCGGCCACCACCTCCTCGTCGTAGCGCCCGATGAGCCGCTCGAACTCGCGGTAGATGGAGCCCGCCAGCCCCGACACCCGCTCCGACATCATGGCGGGGCCGGGCCCGCCGGGGTCCTCCTGGTACACCACGCCGTCCGCCAGCTCCATGGCCGCGGCGGGGGGAGCGCGGGGCCCTGGCGGGGCCCGGCGGGGCGGCGGCGGCGGCGGCTCCGGGCTCGGTCCGGCCCCTCCTGCGGCGGCGGCGGAGCCTCAGCCGGGGCGGGAGCGGCGCGCGCCTCTGACCTCACCCGCCGCGCCGGGCGGGGCCGCGCCGTGACGTCACGCCGGGGCGGGGTGTGCGGGGTGTGACGTCACGCGGGGTGGGGGATGGCTAGTGATGTAATCGAGGGGGCGGGGTTGGGTGGTGACGTCACGGGGAGGTGGTCGCCCGCCGCCGGTGTTGGGAGACGGGAAAATCTGAGCCGAGCAGGGCCGGGCTGTCCTATCTTGTGTCCTGTCGTGTCCTGTCCTGCCGGGACACGTCGGGGGGATCACAGGACTATCAAGGTTGGAAAAGATCTTTAAGATCATCCAGTCCAACCATCAGCCCAGCACTGCCACTGTAACCCCCAAATCACCAAACCTCATCACCCAGCTCCTCTTAAACACCTCCCGTGGTGACTCCACCACCTCCCCAGGCAGCTCGTTCCTACGTCTGACCACACAAACAGTGCAAACCTTTTTTTGTAGTGTCTAATCTGAACCTCCCCTGTCTCAGCTTAAGGCCATTTCCCCTTGTCCTCTCACAGTGGAAGAGACCGGCTCCCACCTCACTACAGCCTTCCAGGTGGTTGCACAGCGCGATGAGGTCCCTCCTGAGCCTCCTCTTCTCAAAACTAAACACCCCCAGCTCCCTCAGCTGCTCCTCATCAGACATGTTTTCTAGTGCCTTCACGAGCCGTGTTGTCCTCTGGACACACTCCAGCAGCTCAGTGTCCTTTGAAAGTGAGAGGCCCAAAGCTGAACGCAGCACTCGAGGTGTGGCCTCAGCAGTGCCAAGTACAGGGGGGACAATCACTGCCCTGGTCCTGCTGGCCACAGTATTCCTGATATTCCTGATACAGGCCAGCATGTGCCAGATCACCGGAGAGAACACCCCTGCCCGTGGGCAGGGTTCCCAGTTTGGGTGGGAGATGCCAGGCAGTGCTGTCTGACGGCTCCCATGGCAGCGGTGTTATTTGTTTATCGCACCCACGGAGGCATAAATAGATCAAGTGATTCACTGGGGGATGACTGACAGAGATAGGATTTTAGGTCCCAGATTTTGAGACTCCACAGCTCCCAAACTGTGCTTGGAGTGCTGTCTTGGCTGGTCTCTGACTGCAAAAATGACTTTTAGTTCTAATAAGGTCTCCAGATAAATCAATATCAGAAATCCTGGGTTTTTTAGCAATAACAGAGCTTAGAAGGCATCTTGCACTTGCTAAGATGGATTGATTTTCCTAGGATTTGGAACAGTGAATTCCATTCTGGATCATGTGTTCTGTCGAGGAACAGTGTGAGCTGTTCTAGACATTCAGGTTAAATTTCAAAGTACTGAGACTGAAAAGTTTCAGAGTTGCTTCACGTCCCTCATTTTTCATAGCACCATAGAATTGTTTAGGTTGGAAAAGGTCCCAAAGGTCATCAACTCCGACCATTAACCCAGCCCTGCCAAGGCCACCACTAAGCCATGTCCCCAAGTGCCACATCTGCACGTCTTTCAGATCCCTGCTGGGATGGTGACTCCACCACTGCCCTGGGCAGCCTGTGCCAGTGACCACACTCTCAGTGAACAAACATTTCCTAATATCCAACCTAAACCTCCTCTGGTACAATTTCTATCAAACAATTCAAATGTGGGGAAATCATTGTTTTGCATTAAGTAATATTCCCTGTACAGGGAGCTGAGGAGTCCAATGGCCTGGCAGCAGCCCAGGAACAAAGAAATGAGTGTTTTAAAAAGTGCAAAAGCTTGAGAAGTGATGGAACTCTTAAGTGTCGTGATTGCATTCAGTTCCACTGGAGAGCAGCAGAGCTTTGCACCATATTTTCTCTCATTTGGGCTGCTTTTAAGACAGGAACTGTGCTTTAAATGCATGTGCTGTGATGTCTTTTTATGTACTCAGCTAGTGAGTCTGCGCAGGAATGACAAAGAAGAAAATACTTCAGCCCCATATTTTTGATTTCTTCTGAGTTCTGTTTAGACATCATCCTCCTAAGATAATAATTTAACACGCTGCAGCCTGTTAAAATACAAATTTCTTTATAAACACAACAAAAGAAAAGCTCTTTTTCTTTTAATTCTGACCAAAAATTTACATAATTTTAGCTAAAAAATAATTTCAAAAAGACAATGTGCACTTTCATACATCTCCTCGAGCGAAACTTTCATGTAAATTATCGGAAAAGATTCCTATGAAGATATTATTCTTTCCCTCTTTCTCTTTAGCAGCTGTCCACTGAGAAAAACTGCAACTCCTCCGTGTTTGCCTGCTGCTTGCCAGAGATTAAAGCTTCACCAGCTGCAGGAGTGCTGGGGGAAGCCGTCTGTCGAGATTTCTCCCTCCCTTTGGCTCATACATAGTTCCCGTTCACCTCGGTTTTTATGTTGTGGGAGGTACTGAGAGCCTTTGGGGGAGTGTTTTTTTTCTTTCCTGAGCCTGAATAAATCTTGCAGGAAGGCTGCAAACAGCCCAGGTAGAGAGGGAACTCCACCCTGCACCCGGGCAGGCCACAGCTAATTGCCATGAACTCTTGACCTGGACCTCACCACGTTGTTCGTGTGTAACTCTGCACAACGTGAGGACAGCTCTAAACAACTGCAGATTATTGTGAGGATAAAAGCACCAATCCCCTTGAATCTTGCAGAGATCCTTTTGTCTGTGCAGGGTTTATAGTCACTGACATCCTGCTTGGCAAAAGGCACAAATACATTATCTCAAAGACGTATGTTCTGACAGACGGCAGAAGTGGGTCAAGGTGTCTGCTGACAGCCCTCAGCAAAGGGGGTCTCTGAGGACATGCTATTTTTATCCTGTCTCTATCAGCAAAATGTATAGATGTGGTTTTCTTTCCCAGACAGAGCAGGTGCATCACTGAACAGGCTGCTGCTGCCACTACAGTTGCAGTCAGACTGACGAGTACAGGTAAAGGGGCTATTTGGGTTTTCTTCTAGTCATCTGGGGGTTCTCTAGCATGGGATAGTGAAGTATTTAAAAAAAAGAAGAGCAGAAAAATTACCTAGGAGTTTAAGTGGTGTAAAAATGTATCTTATTGACAGTCTTACCACAGTGATCACATTTCATGATGTGCACCTTGCAGTCAGTGTGAGATCAGAAACTCAGGGATGAATTAAAAATTGAAGGAGATATGGAATGATATTCTAATTTCTTTCCAGGAGATTAAGGGACCTCGATGATCTGTCAATTTAGCAAATGAATCAAGCATATGAAACAGCACAAAGAAACCTGCTAGAACTGTCTTTGTAGCTTGAAAATAGTGGCTGTATGTGGTAACTAGCAGAGTAAAATGCCATCACATTCTTAGGGACAGAACTGACTGACAAAGAAATTAGTTTTCTGGATAGTAAGAAAAATCACATTACCTATCCCTGGAAATAACAGTTAATTTGAAAGTAAATTGATTTGCAATTTATCAGGGAAGAAAATAAGCCCTTGGATAAGTCTGGGGTGAGAAAAGCTTAACTGGGACTTCACACAGAGGAAGAAATTTTGATAAAAGCTTCATTCTGTGGTGCTTTACATCTTAAAGTGCAACAGAAATCAAGGTAAAGACTGATAAATGATAGCAGCATTCAGCTAAATGAAGAGTACTAAAGCCTAGAGCAACAAAACATGTCAGACTGAGGAGTCTGATTATAAGGAGCAAGAGTGGCACAGCACAGAATGAGAACTCCCCAAATGTTCTGAGTGGTACAGACAGAGGCTGTGAGCTGAGATCATTGCACAGATGGGACCAAACCAACCAAGCTAGGAATTATGTTTAAATTCTGCTGCAGTTTGGAGACATTTACGGTCAATCTTTTGCTTCAGGCATGTTTTAAAAAAAACTCTGCTGGTTTTAAGTAATGTATAAATGGTTTGAGCTCAGCAACTACACTTAGTTTACTCACTGAGGACTTTGAAGGTGTTTACTTCTCTCCCATGACCAACCTATTTTTAGGAAATTATTTGTCTGGACTCTCTACTTCTTCACATTTTCGATATAAGCATGTAAATTTTAATGTAATTCCGTGATCTTGGTAGAACTTCGAACCAGCAATAAAGCTGCTCATTTACACAGTAAAAATAACAGGGAAGCCTAAGTTCTGTGGTGTTTCGTGAACCACGTGATGCACAACTTGCTCTGTTAATCATGGATTAATCTCAAAAGTGACAAAGATGACCCTTCTTTAATGAGGTTAAAAGACTTGGTGAAGATCACAGAGCAGACCTATGGTAAAGCTGGAAATAGTGCTTGCCCACCTTAGGGCAAGTCCTCAGCTTTAATCATTAAATGACGTAGATTTAACAAGGCTGTAAATAGAAGTCCTATTGCTGCTTTTAAGTTCATATGTTTCTAAACATCCTGTTTCTAGAGACCTTTTTCCTATGTTTAAGTATTATTTTGCCATGGTGAGGATTACAACATTAGAGTTGGTTTTAATAGTATAAAACATCTCAAATAAATGTGTATTGAAGCAGCGGAATACAGTGGATTGACACTGTCAGGAGAATACTCAGAAGTTCTAAGTCCAAAATAACTCCAAGGGGACTTGCTAAAATGTACAGTGCTGTATTTTTTTTAACAACATTTATGGGAAAATAAATCCATCACAGTATGATCATATCTGGAAAAAAGACCTCTGAATCATAGTAAACAGGTTTCTTGACGAGATGTTTAGGGTTCAGAGCTGTATTCTCCCACCAGAACTAAAAGTAACACATGGATTTGTGATGGAATGTAGCAAAGGGATCCTGAATAAGGAAATCCATGCTATCAAAAAGCTCAGGTTCTCCCTGTTAAACAGCAGCAAAGCCCTGCCCAGAGGGAAGTGAAATTTTACTTTCAAGAAGAGCCAGGGAGTGGAGCCCAGGAAGTTCATCCCAGTTTGGAAACAAAAGCAGGACAAGCATGGATTTCCATCCAGATGCTTTATCCTCAATTCTCTCAAAGGCAGTAAAACACTCAAGGGGAAGCAGTTCAGTGGCAAACTGATGAAGGGTCTTTTGACTCAGAGAGCTAATATAGTACCAAATACAATAATATTCAATATAGTGATATATTATAACCAGCAAAACAACAACAACAACAATTAATGGCCTTCTTTAAAGCAAAAACTTAGAGCAGAACAGTATGATAATGAGATTTTTATTAAGGTAATATTATATGCCTTTCGTTATATAAAAAACGGGATCCAAAAAAATGGGATGAAAAGCTGGAAGGGCTCAGCCTGACCTCCCCGGCTTAAGGAAAGGAGACACCCGGCGGGTGTCGGTGTGACCCGGCCGGGGCGGGCAGGGAACAGGAGACCCCAAAAGCCCTGGGCGGGTGCGGGGCGGGCCCGACGCGGGTGGGGGGCGATGGAGGGGGGGGAGCAGCGTCCTCTGCAGGCGGGAGGCCGCGCTGTCCCCATGGCAACCGCGGGGGCGGGAGGGGGGCTCAGCGCTAAGCCGGGCCGGTCCCCGCGCACACAGAGCGGTGGCAAAGCCACCAGCGGGTGACAAAGGGCTGCCGGAGCCGCCGGGACCGCCAGCGGGTGAGACGGGGAGGGGGGCAGAGGGAGGGTGTCCCCATTCCCCGGGCAGAGCCCCCGGCCCCCCATCCCCGCAGAGCCTCCCCGCAGCCCCCGCGGGTGCCCGCGCTCCTCACCTGCACAGGTGCGCGGAGCCCTCCGGCCGCGCTGGTTTCTCCAGGCGAAAACTCTGCGCGTGTGGATTTATTTATTGCACGGCGCTGGGCGGTGGATCCGTGACGGGCTTTACCTTCCACTCCATTCAGAGCTTCACTGATTTTAGTGTTCGCTAATTGTTTCTGTACTCGGAAAACTGCTTTAAACTCGCTCCGGCAGCGCTTGTGAAAACCCGTGTGCGGCGACCGGTGCGGACCGCGGATTACTGACCCTCAGATGCAGCCGATGTTGCAGGAGACACAGGGCTGGGATTGCCCCATCCTGGGATAACCACTTTCCTTCCCTCTCTCCCTCCTCAGGACGATGGCTTCCATCGAGGAGCGCACCTTCATCGCCATCAAGCCCGACGGCGTCCAGAGGGGGCTGGTCGGGGAGATCATCAAGCGCTTCGAGCAGAAAGGATTCAAACTGGTGGCCATGAAATTAATACATGTAAGCTCTCCTTAACTGGTATGTCTCCCCTTTCTTTCATACCACCTGTAGCCTGGAAATAGAGCAGCATGCTGGACCAGCAAATGTAGTCTGCAGAACATTTAAACCTGAAATTTTGAGAAGTCTTATTTTGGGTGTTTTTGGAAAAGTTCCAGTTCCCAGCTCTGGCTAAATGCTTTAGGCATGCTAAGCATGCTAATTTTAGTAACCTGATGTCCTTAGTCTGAAGAGAATATTTCAGGTGCATCCCATGCCTAATAAATATCTCTGAACATCTTCCACAAATCCCAGGTCACATAAACCATCTGTACTGGCTACAGACACTTTTCTAAGCTCAGTTGTGGTTAAAGCAAACAGTTCAAACTCATATGGACCAGAAGTGCTCCTAGGAAGATGCTAGAAATTCTGAATTTTGAAGTGCGTGCAAGTTTCCGGATTACCAGTGCTCTGAGCTTAATCTCTGTGATTTCACTATGCTCTTAAGTTCTTACAGTGAGCTTTTTTTGTTTGTCTGGCTGGTTTTGAACACAGGCCTCTGAAGACCTTCTGAGAGAACACTACATTGACCTCAAGGACCGGCCCTTCTACGATGGGCTGGTGCAGTACATGCACTCGGGACCTGTTGTGGCCATGGTGAGTTCCTGACAGTGAAGCTCAGCTCAGAAGAACACTGCCTGTCTTACCTGCAATGAGATTGTGTTACCTATTGAATTCTAGTTTACTTTTAAAAGGACCTAAAACCCCACATTCAAATACTATAATTGAGATGTGCTGTTAACACTTTTTTTTTTAATCTTTTTTTCATAATCTTTCTCTCATCCCAGTAAATATATTGAGGAAGAGGGATAAAAGGGGAACCAAAAGTGGACCTTGAAAAACAGTAAAGCTGCACAAAAGCCCCCTTAATACAAAATGCCATATATTAAGCAAGCTGAAAAAGGATGGTGGAATATTTTTACTATATTCCTAAGTTAGAGTAACTTTGAAATTTTTTTTCACTCTAATTTCATTAGAAGGGACTTCCTCTTTTTGTCCTCGATAGTGTATTTGAAAAATAGGTGAGGTCTAGCTCTTCCATGAGTAAGGATGTTTACAATATTGAGATTTAAAATGGTTCTCTCCCCATTCTGGGTGAGGAGGGGGATTGTGCAGAAGAGGAGAACATCAGCAAATGCTTCACGAATCTGACAGAAAAATTGGAGATAAAATATGTCTCACTAAAATGAATATTCAGATGGTGACTTGTGCTATGATGGGCAGCCCTGTGTCCTTGTGGAAAGTGTCTGCTGGTAAGATTTAATAATCTCAATGGATTTTTTTTTTTTTCTTCTAAGGTGTGGGAAGGTCTTAACGTGATTAAGACTGGAAGGGTGATGCTGGGAGAAACTAATCCATTCGATTCCAAGCCTGGCACTATTCGTGGTGACTTCTGTGTTCAAGTGGGAAGGTATGTTCTAAAACTCTTGATATCATCCAAAGACACTAAATGTCAAGTGTTATATCATGATATATGGAGGAACTGTGCTCCATCCTTCTCTGTCTTACTCATGGAGCTGCCATTCCCTGGGCTCAAGTAATGTTGTGCTCTAAGGATGGAAATTGCATCGTGGTTGTCCCCATTTTGACAAAAATGAGGAGCAAAGCTGGGATTGCCTGTACTGTCTTTGCTCCTGCTTTACAGATGCTTAAAGCTCCTTTCCTTAATGGAAACCACTTCAAAACAAGAGCCTTGCTTTGTTTCGAGTTTGAGGATTCTCTTACTCTTCTATCCACCTTTTATTTTCCCAGGAACATCATTCATGGAAGTGATTCTGTGGAAAGCGCTGAGACGGAGATCAATTTATGGTTCACTCCTGAAGAACTGGTTGATTACCGAAGCTGTGCTCATGAGTGGATCTATGACTAACACTGAGCCTGCATCTTCTGATATCCCTCCTGCCCGTGAGCAGCTGCCAGCCTCTAGCTATTCCAAAGCCCTGGTAGAAACCTCAGGAATCTGTGAGATTGCTCTGTTGTGAATGTTAAATAGAGCCAGTGTTTGCTGCTGCTTTGATTTAAAAGCTGTCCAGTCATAGATGGAATTGTACTTTTAAAAAGCTGCTTCTGGGGTTGAGAGATATGAGATTAAGACACAGAGCATATGAAAAATATATATTTTCCTGGAACACTTTATAGCCATAGAGAGTATTTTGGTAAATAGAAAAAAAAAATTTGGTCAGAAAATGTCCAATAATTCCATGTGCAAATGGCTTGGTGTTAGAAGTTAACTTTGTTCAAATGTTAAAGAACAACTGGTGGTTTGTGAGTATATTGCTAAGATGTCCAAATGCTGAGGATTGAATTTGATATCAAGTGTGCCCCATGACCAAAACAGCTGCAGAAAAAAAGCCTATTTCTCCCCCCAAAATGCTCTGTGCCGGTACACAGAGCTCAGCTCTGATTAACATGACAACTGTCCTCCACACTAACACTGTTTTAACTTGCTTTTTTTCCCCCCACATGGGATTTATTTAGCATTTTAAGGAAAGATTAACTGACCAGGCTTTATGAAATGCCCTTTTATGTGAAAAGAAGATTAATGTGAGGATGGATGAGGGAGATCTACCTTCAGCCACTTCACAGCAGCAGCCCTCTGGCATTGCACAGAGCAATAAGTGATGTTTGCTTTGCTGGCTGAACAGCTGATAATTTAGGGTTTGATAATTCAGGTTTGTTCTCATTTGTGTCCTTTCCATAGTAGTTGGAACTACAAAGCAAACTGTCCTTGGATGAAGTGTTTCAGAAGTGTTTTGTATGAATTTAATGATGTAAAGAAGTACAGTCATAGTAATGCTGTAGGTATTTCAGTAGAGCTCTCTGCTTCTATCAGAGAGAAACACCAGCCTCTTGCAGAACTTTTAGCAGCAAAAGTTGTACTGGATGAGGAACAAGTTGGGATTGATATTATGTATTTATTTACCTGCAACATTATATTCACTAAGAGCAAGTGTTTCATGGAATTAGTTGTTTGAACCCCACGATTTTTTTCCCTATAGTGAGACTCAAATAATGAACTGTGCAATGTATGTTGAACTGAATGCTTATGATACTTTATAGAGACATTGAGCTCCTAAAAAAGAGATGGTACAAAATGAAGCATTTGCTGTTTCTTAAGTGAAATAAAAGGATATTTTAATTATATTGTCTTATATCAATGAGTGTATGGAGATGGAACAAATTCCCTAAGTGTGTAGGTGAGGCTGTGAGCTCCTCTTCTGAAATTATTCACTGTTATAGAAGATAAATACTGCAGTTAAATGTTGGAGGAAAGGGAGTACATGACAAACCTGTGTGTGAGATGAGTAATCTCCAGTTCCGTTTTTGCTTGAAAGGTTACTTGAGATTTCTTTTTCTTGATTTGATTACTACAAAATGGAGAAATGTGGGTTATCTGGGGGTGTGGGGGTTGTCAGAAAGCAGCTGATTAGTATTTTTAATGTGATGAGACACGGAGGAGGTGGAGGGCAGCATCTCTCAGGGAAATGCAACATTCCTGCATGGCTGAGGTGCCCGAGCAGGTCCTGTGTCAGTGTCCCATCAATAAGAGACTGCACAAGGACTGCAAAGGGCTTTTCATTAATATCCCCTCTGCAGTGATTGTGTATGATTATATCTCGCTCAGGAAGAGAAAAGGTGTTTCGGAAACTAGTAAAGGGCAAATTATCATAATGTTTAATAACAAAAAGTAACAACCCTTCCCGCTTCTTGTTAGGACACAGTACTGGGACCGTGTCGTTTTACACCTGTGTTTTTCAGCTTCATCTTCCTGGATCCCAGTAAAATCACGGATAACTTCCCTGGGTTACAGATCCCACATCACTTTCCTGTGAGAAATATGCTTTCAAGGCGTGTTGGGCTGGCTGCACCGTCCGCCGCCAGACCGCAGGAACACCTGAACACGGCAGCGCCAGCACCAATAAGTGAAAAAACCGACTTAGTTAAACATCCGCAATCGCTTCAGTGTGTCAAAGGCTTAAAGCCCCCGCTGCTGCAGCTGTAAACTAATAACCCTCGGGCGGCTTTCGAGGAGGCGAAGGTGACAGGTGCGGTGGGGACAGCCCGGCCAAGGGACAGCCCGGCCAAGGGACAGCCCGGCCAAGGGACAGCCCGGCCAAGAGCCCTCCCGGCTCGGCGGGGGCCGAGGGAGCGCAGCGCTGGGCACAGCACCAGCGGCACCGGGAGCCACTGTCCCGTCCCATCCCATCCCGTCCCGTCCCGTCTCGGTCCGCGCTGGCGGCCGCGGGCGGGCGGGTTCCCGGGCGCGCTCCCGGGCGCGCTCCCGGGCGCGCTCCCCAGCGCTCCCCGCGCCCCGCCGGGCCCGCCCCGAAGCGCCGCCGCTCTCCCGGCGGCTCCTCCTCTGCGCGGGGCGGGGGATCCGCCGCCCTCCCTCCTTCTCCTCCTCCTCCTTCTCCTCCTCTTCCTTGGGCGGCAGCGGCTGCGGGAGCTGCGGAGAGGTGAGGCCGGGCCGGGCCGGGCCCCGCGCTCGGGGAGCCCGAGGGGAGCGGGCGGAGGGGCCGCCCGGGTGCGGGCGCGGCGGAGGGGGCGGTGGGGTGGGTGGATGCGGGGGCCGGGGGGACACAGCGGGGCCCGGGGGGGGCTCATCCATCGCGGTGCCACGTGGGCGCGGCCATGGCGGGCGACCTTGAGGCCGATGGTCGCCCCGCTCCGCCCGCAGGGCCATGGCTGGGAACGCCGAGCGCACCTTCATCGCCATCAAGCCCGACGGCGTCCAGCGGGGGCTGGTCGGGGAGATCATCAAGCGCTTCGAGCAGAAGGGGTTCCGGCTCGTGGCCATGAAGTTCGTGCACGTGAGTCCCCGCATTCCCCCCAAATGCCTTCCCTTGCCTGCCAAAGAGGGGCTCGGGCACACACAGGTCATCTTGGGCACACACAGATTGGTTTGGGCACACACAGATTGGCTTGGGCACACACAGATAATCTTCCTTTGCGGCTTTTTTTTGCGCCAGAATGGGAATCTGATAGCGGACGTGCATCAGGCTCCTTTTCCTGCCCAGCACCGGATCTTCCCCCTGTCCAAAGGAAGCACGTTTTGCCCAAATGGTTTGGTGCAGCCCCACTGGGAGCTGAACCGACCTTGACTGAAAGGTTGTGTTGGGTAACAGCACCCAGGCAGCCCGTGCTCTGCTTATCGCTGAGGGTCACTGCAATGCAAAGAAATAATATTGACAGCTCGCAACACTGACACTGCCACAGAGGACAGATGGGCCGTGCACTCCTTTAATTTTACATTAGGAGCTTGCATTGATACCCACAACAGCACTGCAGGCCTGTTGATAACATTAATGACTGGTGAGTCCAGTCACTAGCACCACAGCCTTGCAGCAGTAACACCTCTTGTGATATGACATTCAGAAGCTGACATTTGATGTTACATCTGCCCTTTTAAAGGCCTCCGAAGACCTTCTCAAACAACATTACATTGACCTGAAAGACCGACCCTTCTTCCCTGGTTTGGTTAAATACATGAACTCTGGACCTATTGTGGCCATGGTAAGTGGTTTGATTTTAGTTAAAGATGACTTGCTTGAATAAGTTTGTCTTGGCTTGTAAGTTATTTAAAATATTCAGAGATACTGTTACAGAAACAGTTTTTCAAACTACCCAGTTCAGATAGCAGCAAAAAACCCCCCAAAAATTAAAATTAAGACAGTCAAGAAATTACTCTATATTACTAAGAAGGAAAGTGCATGTATAAAACATGTATTAAAATGCTTAACATGTATTAAGCAAAATTCCTGAGAGCAAATCTTCTGCACCAAAAATCTTCTGTTTTAGGTGAAAAACGGTGAGGCTCTCTGACACAGAAACCCATCTTCTGTGTCATTCTTTCTTCCACTCCCCTCAAAACAATGTATTTGGTCCAGTAGCATCTCCTGGTTTGACTCTGTACCTAACTAGGAGCGCCTGCAGCTCATCAGGGTGTCCTTATCCTACCCAAACAGAAAGGTTTTGGAGTTGGCCTTGTGCATTATTTAAGTCTGAGGCTTGGTAAAGTATCTCCTTCACTGGAGTAACAATGTTGATGGTCCTTTTTACAGACACTTCCAGTTCATATGTTTTTTCCCCAGTCACCCCTACAGGCCTAAGAGAGGATCTAGGCAAGGTTAATTTTTTTAGTGGTAGAGCCCCTGTTTCTTTGGAAAGTATGTTATTAGCAAAGATTAATCTTCGGTATTTTGTACGAGCATGGATTAACAGGAGTGGTTTTGTCTTTTTGCCTTAAGGTGTGGGAAGGACTCAATGTGGTTAAAACTGGGAGAGTAATGCTGGGGGAAACAAACCCTGCAGACTCGAAGCCTGGTACCATCCGTGGTGACTTCTGCATTCAAGTGGGAAGGTTTGTACTCAGTGCATTAATTGAGATCAAAACCAACTACTACTCCATGTTTAACTGCCAACATAAAATCTGATGGTAGTCTTTCATATCTGGAAAGCCAGAATCAGTGGTAGATACCCTCAGCTGATGCTATTTCATTTGCAGGTCACAGTCCATAACTGCTACTTAAGAAAATGGTACAAAAGTGACTCTGTTTGAAATCCAGCTCCTCCTCAGAGCAGCACGTAAGCTCAGGCAGGGGCTGGTGTAGAACAGTAGCCCTAATGACCCTGCTAGGCCTGATTAGCTCTCAGAGTGAGGCTGGTGGAACACTGGCCCGGAAATAAAAGTAATAATCTCGCAGCTCTAGATGCTTCATCCAAGGTTTTGCATGTGGAGAATGATGAGGTTGCTGAAAGTGTATTTTTTATAGGGAACAATGTTTGTCTCCTTCCACAGGAACATCATCCACGGCAGCGACTCCGTGGAGAGCGCGCAGAAGGAGATCAACCTGTGGTTCAAACCCGCCGAGCTCATCGACTTCAAGCCTTGTGCACACGACTGGATCTATGAGTGACGAGTTTCCGCAAGGATCTGTGCCTTGGAACGCACCATCTCATTCCAGCTGCTGACCTGGGAGCAACCACGGTTATCTTAGTGCTCAAAGTGACTGTCAAATAAATGGGTGTGAACTAACTCCTTGTGGTGCTTTCACTTCCAACAGACCCCGCGTTCAAACAGCCATGCAAGTCATGTTAGACATGCAGTGTTTCCCTCCTGTAGAAGGAACAGTTAACAAGAAATGCCATGCACTGGCACATCAGAATAAAAATCCAGGGAGTTGTGTCCCTTGCACAGTTGCTTTGAAAGCTCCTGAAATCATGGCAGTGGCAAAGCCAGTTTGCAGAGAGGTGACAGGAGGATGGAGCTGCTTCCAGCACAGCTGAACTGAGCTAGGGGAAAAAAAAAAACAGGATACTGCACAGTTTCCTTCCTTACACAACTATTAGTACCAAATGAAATGAGAACAAGTGCAAAGCTTGCTCTCTATTAAATGCTTATGTAATGCCACCATCTCATATTAAAACCCTTACCTTGTGCTCAGCATCTTACATGGTTCATTTGTGGTCAGACCAACATACCCAGTTACTTAAAATATTTATCTTTTACAAATCGTGTTTTTTTAATCTGCATTCTGTTGAGAGAAGCTGGAGTGCATTTATGTATATGCCAAATAGTGCCTTTTAAACAAAACAATCACTATTCAGAAAAGGACTTTTTTGATCATTTTTATTTTGTGTAAAAAAGGCAAATTTAGTGAATTATTTTCATCTTGTACACAAAGTTATAATTTTAATGCTTTTCACATCCATGCTGAAAATCTGCAGTCTCGTAAAAATGAAAGTAACATTAATTTCTCCAAAAGCATTTTCTTCACCGAGTTATGTACATTGCATGAGAAAGCTTTAAATACTCTCTCATTGACCACACAAATTACCAAGAAAATAAAAAGATTAAATTTGTACAGATATTGATCTATATATCAAATACATACAGAAATGATGTAAAAACCCCATTTGTTTAATCTTGATTCCCGCCCCAACATTTTCCCAGGGGCCAAAGCTGATGCCTTTTTTGTATAAATGGCTGTGGCTTTTTGTTTTAAATATGAAAAAAAATCAAAAAGAAGAAAAAATTCAGCTGAAATCACAGTTTTTTAAAATCCCTTCCCAATAAAGGATTGTTACCAAATATATTAGCACCATCGTACAAATATTGACGGGAGGGTATTCACATCACATAA